AGGGCGGCGGGGGCTCAGCGGGAGGGTTGAGGCTGAATCACGCGCAGCCTGCGGGCGGCGGAAACGTCCCTAGAGCCTGGCCGCCCCGGGACCCGGGCCGCTTCCTGGGAGAGGATTACATTTTCTCCCTGCTCCACTTGACTTTCTTCCGGAAGGAGCAGGTCTCGCAGGATCGGGGCCAAGGCTGGAAGAGTTCAGGTTTGGGAGTCGTGTGTGTAACAGCCCCGCGCCTCCACGCCCTGGCCCGTGTGGCTTTGGGCAAGTTATATAACCACCGCTGCCACCCCAGCTTCTTTTCCTGTAAAATGGAGCTTTAGTGCCGCCCAGCAGGGTTGTTGGGATGATTCAGTGACTCTGTGGACTGCCCAGCACCTGTGAATTGCTTTCCTCGATGTTGGGTGCAGGCCTGTGAGCTTGTATGTACTCTTCTGCTTCAGGATGCCAAGCCTTTAGTATTTCAGAGGGATGAGAGAAAGAAATCCCATTTATTGATGCAGAGGATTTTGTTGTAAGGGACTCTAGGAACTAAGTGGTTCCAATGTGAATTTGTATCAAAATAACAAAGTTCTAAGTGAGAGACAAAAATGGTAACATGAATGTACGATGACAAGCGGTGGTCAGTTTTAGAACCACCTAGACGTGGCATGAGGAACCCAAAATCACGACACAGATTTTAAAGCCTGTGATACAGTGACCTAGTCGCTAGAAAAAGTAGTTCTCGGCTGGGCATGGTGGCTCACGCCTGTAATCCAGCCCTTTGGGAGGCTGAGGCGGGCAGGTTGCCTGAGCTCAGGAGTTTTGAAACCAGCCTGGGTAGTATAGTGAGAGGACCCCCCACTCCCCCGACTTTAAAAAACAAAACAAAAAAATTACCCAGGCATGGTGGCACTTGCCTGTATTCCCAACTACTTGGGAGGCTGAGGCAGGAGAATCCCTCTATTCCGGGAGGTGGAGGCTGCAGTGAGCCGAGATCGCACCACTGCCCTCCAGCCTGGGTGGCAGAGCGAGACCCTGTTTTTAAAAAAAAAAAGAAAGAAAAGAAAACGTAGTTCTCATCCTGAAAGTTTGGCAACCTAAAACCAACTCCTAGTAGTCATATATTGGCAACTTTAGATACACATGTTTACTTGGAACTTAATTCAGCCCATCCTAGCCTCTCCTTACTGAAATAGTTCAAGCATTACATTACAGGAAAATGTGAAAAAAGGTATCTTGCTTTAGATTCCAGAGGAAGGCTGTGGTGGTACGCAGTAAGCACGCAACAGGTGTATGTGTGTACACTTGGTTACACTGTGGCATGCCGAGAAGGAGGGGACGGGGTCATAGTTCAGGCTGCATGTGGGCTGTGGGTCTGTACTGTGACTCAGGACCAGAGCACTCCTTACTCCTGGCAGCCTTACAAAGTCATGCCATTGATCATGATTGAGGACTGGGAGGGAAAGGCCTCCTCTCTGCAAATCTTTCACAACTACACTCCTAAAAATAACTCAAGTGCATGTCCCTGGAAGCACAGAAGAGTGACCTCATGACATACCAATCATGTTGTATAATATAGGTTGTATAATTCACGTTTAATTTTACCGTTCTGTGTCAGCAGTAATTAGAAATTTTTTCCTAAGTGTAATTAAAGACCTGCATATTTGGGGCAGGAGGAAGTAGGGCTTTGAGTAGGAATATACCATTTACTGTGGTACATGTATATACATTCCATGTGGCACATTAACAACATCTTGCAAAAAATTAAAGCAAGAAATTAACCTGATTCTGATCCATTTTGTCATTAGAAAATAGGAAACATTTTGTAATTTGTCAGATAAATGACACTCATGAAATGTTCTAGTGGCTAGTGCTGTATGGCTCCCCGTTTCTTGCCTAATTTGTTAATAACTCTCAATCCTGAAAGCTGCCTCCCTTGCTGCATAATTGTCCTGGGGCTTCTGCAGCATCTCAAATCAAGACACATAAAGTCATCTTTTTTTTTGCCAAACACGGTGGTGGTGGTTGCTATTTTACACTTTGGCACCAACGAAGTTTGAGATTCCATAAATTATACAGACAGTTATAGTGTCTGGGCTTCCAAAAGTTTCCATGTCTAAAGTAGGCTGATTACTTACTATAAACCATAAAGTTACATTCAGAGGAACTCTGGAATTTCGTTTTGAGGAATAAGAATTCAAACTGTCAATATGCCAAATACCTCTGTACCTCTCACTCAAAAAAAAATCCACAGCCAGTCTTCAGTATCTAGGAATTGGGTATAGTCTAGTGTTTAAATAATATTTAGATAGTGCATCTACAAATGTTTACAATTTAAGTTCTGTTTTTATTGCTCCTGGCTAATTTTCACGAGACCAATCTTTATATTCAGCAGACACCCATAGTTATTTTAGTGAAATCACTCCTGCCTTCAGTGTGAAGAGTTGAAGTTAAATGGCTGTTCATGATACTCACTTTATTCTAAAGGAGTACAGTATGTCCCCAAACTTCTGACAAAGACAAGTTGTCAGAAAGGCAAAAACGTGCCACGTGGCTTAGGAACAGACCTCTCTGTTCTTAATGAAACTGCATTCTTCTTATATAGAGGCAAGCTAGAAGAAAGAACTCTGCCCTCAGTACATATATATTAACTAGCTGGCCAAATCTACACTAATGAACACTTCGGAGACTTACAGCATGGACTCCTGCAAGACATTTTAGTGGAAGAATTTTTGCAATGCCTTCATTATTGTAGGCAGTGTAGAAAAAGTCACTGAAAACTTTTTAGACTCTTTTTCTTGGTATTAGAAAATGACTGATTCTCAGAAACTACAGTGCAGCTATCACCTATATTTGTCCATTTTTCTCCTGTATATAGAGTGTCTAAAACAACACTTCTGGATTTTCTTTACGTATTAGGTCATTTTACTTAGCCTTACCTTTTATGTCCCAACACAAGGGAGGAACTTTCTCTTTAAGGAAAAATTCAGTGAACTTCTCTAACACAAAGAAGAAGTCATTACTTTTACTTGCTGTTTGATGCACTTGCTGTGACCACTCTAACTTTCTGTGGGAATGTCCAAAGAATGCATTTCCTAGGGTAGATGTCACAGCTGTGTCAATAGCAAAATGTATCTTTTCATCCCATAGCTTCTTTCAACCAAATTTGTCCAGCAGGCCAAAGCTAGATAAAGCTCCAAACCTTTCCCAGTATGGGAGGCATGGGGGGTGAGAGAGCCGTGTTCTGGCTGTCACATCCTTGCTAGGCTGCTGTGCAACACTTTTGTAGCAGCACAGCCAGGTGTTGAGGCTCTGTGTTTTTTGTTTTTGTTTTTTTGAATAGAGTCCCACTCTGTCACCCAGGCTGCAGTGCAGTGGCCTGACCTTGGCTCACTGCAACCTCCGCTTCCCAGGTTCAAGTGATTCTTCTGCCTCGTCCTCCCGGGTAACTGGAAATACAGGCACCTGCCATCATGCCCAGCTAATTTTTTGTATTTTTAGTAGAAACAGGGTTTCACCATGTTAGCCAGGCTGGTCTTGAACTCCTGACCTCAGGTGATCGCCCACCTCGGCCTCCCAGAGTGCTGGGATTACAGGCACCAGCGAAGTCTCTGTTTTAAAGTATTCTGTTCCTTTCCTCTGGGTGTTACAATTTGGAAGCTGCAATAACATTTCAAGCTCAGTCCTTTTAGTAATATTATTTTTTATCCCAAGTTTCTTAAGGGGCCAGATTGTAAATATTTTAGGTTTTGTGGACTTTGAAACAAAATCAATATTGTGTAGGTGCAGTCCTTGGTATTCGGGAGATTGGTGCCAGGACCCCCTCAGATATCAAAATCCATAGATGGCCAAGTCCCGATATAAAATGGCATAGTATTTGCATATAACCTAAGCACATCCTCTGTGTACTTTAAATCATCTCTAAGCACTTATAATACCTAGTACAATGTAAATGCTATGTTAATAGTTGGTATAATGTATTTTTTAAAATTTGTATTGTTTTTGCAAGTATTTTCCTTTCACGGTTGATTATGCGGATGCAGAACTGTCAGATAGAGAGGGCCAACTGCACCATTTAAAATGTGCCACTTAGAAATGTAAATCCCATTCTTGGCTCATGGGCCACACACAAACAGGCAGTGGACTGGATTTGGCCAGTAGGCCATATGTTTGCCAACCCTTCTCCAGACAGTGCTACCATCATTAATTAAAAGAAACTCTACTTTCTTTTCTCTCTTACAGCCCCATGGCTGGGGGTTATGGAGTGATGGGTGACGATGGTTCTATTGATTATACTGTTCACGAAGCCTGGAATGAAGCCACCAATGTTTACTTGATAGTTATCCTTGTTAGCTTCGGTCTCTTCATGTATGCCAAAAGGTAAATTTTTGTTTCTCAGGGTAGATAAAAACTGTGCATTTACAAGTTTTGCAAGTTTAAGAAATATGAAATGAATACGTAAAAGTAATTGCATCAGGCTGGGCGCAGTGGCTCACACCTGTAATCCCAGCACTTTGGGAGGCCAAGATGGGTGGATCACGAGGTCAGGAAATTGAGACAATCCTGGACAACATGGTGAAACCCTGTCTCTACTAAAAATACAAGAAGTAGCTGGACGTGGTGGCACGTGCCTGTAATCCCAGCTACTTGGGAGGCTGAGGCAGGAGAATCACTTGAACCAGGGAGTTGGAGGTTGCCGTGAGCCGAGATCGCACCACTGCACTCCAGCCTGGTGACAGAGCGAGACTCCATCTCAAAAAATAAATAAATAAAATAAATTTCATTATAATTTTTGTTGTAGTGCTGACAGACACTGTCCACTCTGGTGTCAAGCATTGGTGGCCAAGGTTTGGCTCTGAAAACCCCATTGCTGACCAGACATGGTGACTCACACCGGTAATCCCAGCACTTTGGGAGGCTGAGGCAGGTGGATCTCCTGAGATCAGGAGTTCAAGACCAGCCTGGCCAACATGGTGAAACCCCGTCTCTACTAAAAATACAAAAATTAGCTAGGCGTGATGGCACGATCCTGTAATGCCAGCTACTCAGGAGGCCGAGGCAGGAGCATCACTTGAACCTGGGAGGAGGATGCAGTGAGCCAAGATCGTGCCACTGCACTCCAGCCTGGACAACAAAGTAAGACTCCATCACAAAAACAAAAAAAACCCATTGCTTTAAGAAATAGAGAGTTAAGTACCACTCTTAGCCCCCAGGCCAGCTGCACTAAACTCTCAATTCTGTAATTTCTATTATAGCCCAATTTTATCATTCAGCCTGGGTTCGTTGTCACCCTTCATTGAGCACATTGTTTTGGCTTAAGTCCCTGAATGCAGAAACACTGACTCCTATGTATTCAGCAAATCTCCCTTCAACCAGTATAAGCTTTTCCTTGTTTTTTGTGCATGACTGTATGATAGCACTTATTAAACAGCGTTAGTCTTATCTGATTACTTGTTTGTCCTTTCTACAACATGTCTTTTTTGTCTTTTACCTTAGGGTCCCTGGTGTGCTGTATAGTGTAAATCTTCAATGAATATTTCCTGCCTTAATTCCAGATGTTGTAGCTTAATTTAACTGCTTTTCCACATTCCCTGGCTCCTTTCCCAGAAGTACAGTAAAAAAGGGGGAGGTGCGGGGATGCTTTAAAAAGAGGAAGAGCAGTGTTACATTGGGATACTTCTGCAGACACATACTTTACAGGTATCCTCTCCCAAGGTAAAAAGGCATTCGAGAGTTCAAGGTAATTAGTAATCCAGAAATAATTTAAGTTTGGCCTGAGGAATCATTTAGAGCCCCCACTTGCACCCAGATCTCAGCTGAACCCTCCTGGAGCAGCTGGCCTGTTGGCTCATGAACTCTAGGGGTGGTGAGAGGAGGCTCCCTGACCATCACTGATGACCTGGCAGGTGACCACTTTCCTCTAAGCCACCACCGCCTCCCCATGTTTCTTTTAAAAGCGGAGGCACTCTGTTCTTAATTTTAAAAAGATGTCTCCACTAAGGCCATGCTATTGTATTTAAGAAATATGTTTATTCATTACTTTCTAAAATTAAGGTCTGCTCACATTCAATTTATTCTCCAGCTCAGTCATTTAGCTTTATCTGGATGACGGGAAAGGAAGGAAAAATCAGCTGTTCTCTTGTTTGTGATTTTCTCATAGGATATTTGGCTTTTGGGGATTGAGGAGAATCACAATGGAGGAACTTCACTTTGTTGTGTTAATTGGATGTGTTCAGCTACTTACTTTTCTCACTTACAGCCTCATACTTTTTAATGAAAGAAATAATACTTTGAGCCAAGGAAGCAGCTCTCAAAGACAAAATAGAAAGTAAAATGGGCTTGTTGTCATTTAAGTCCTTTTGCCACAGCTTCTGATGACCAGGATTATAAGCATATTACAACTCTATAGACATTAATACAAAACTGCATGGATTTTGTGTTTAGGAACAAAAGGAGAATTATGAGGATATTCAGCGTGCCACCTACAGAGGAAACTTTGTCAGAGCCCAACTTTTATGACACAATAAGCAAGATTCGTTTGAGACAACAACTGGAAATGTATTCCATTTGTAAGTGTATTCTGTGCTGAAAGATACACATATGCATGTTTAAAATAGATTTTCTGGAATTGAGTTCATTTAGCAAAATGTTATTAGAAATCGTAAGTAATGAAAACTTAGTACTTTTTTCAGATGTTTAATATGTTTTTCAGATACTTATCCTTTGTTCCTTTTGTATTTTATGCCATTTGCATGTGATACTGGCTCAAAATAAGGTATATAACTTAATTCAGCATAGCAGCATTATTCACTGTAGTCAAAAGGTGGAAATCACCCACATGTCCTCAGCAGATGAATGAATAAACAAAGTGTGGTGCATACAATAGAATGTTATCCAGCCCTTAAAAGGAAGGACATTCTGGCTGGGAGCGGTGGCTCACACCTACAATCTCAGCACTTTGGGAGACTGAGGTAGGTGAATCACAAGGTCAGGAGTTCAAGACCAGGCTGGCCAAGATGGCGAAACCCCGTCTCTACCAAAAATACAAAAATTAGCTGGGCGTATTGGTGGGTGCCTGTAATCCCAGCTACTTGGGAGGCTGAGGCAGGAGAATTGCTTGAACCCAGGAGGCGGAGGTTGCAGTGAGCAGAGATCACGCCATTACACTCCAGGCTGGGGAACAAGAGTGAAACTTCATCTCACAAAAAAAAAAAAAAAAATACAGAGCCAGGAGCTCTGTATGAGAAATTCTAAGTAAAGAACTAAGTTTTTATTGACACATACGCAAAACAAGTTATCCACTGTCAGTAATATGCTCAGTAACACAGCAGATACATTATAAACCCACAGTTTATTTCTTTTTTGATGGGAATGATATAAAATAAAATTGATCCGAATTTCTGTTTGCAAGGTGTATTAGTTTTCTGTGCTAATTGCTGCTGTAACGAATTACCACAAATGTAGTGGCTTAAAGCACACGAACATGTTGTCTTACAGTTGTGTGGGTTAGAAGCTCCACAGCAGCTGTACTGTGCTAACTTCAGGGTGCCTGCATGGTTCTGTTATTCTAGAGCCTCTAAGGAAAATCCCTGTCTTTGCCTCCTCCAGCTTCTCAGGACCATCCACACTCCTTGGGTCACAGTCCCTTCCTCCATCTGCAAAGCATTGCATCTTTCTGACTATTTCATGTCCACATCTCCTTCTCTCAGAACTTAGGCAGGAAAAAAACTCTGTAATTTTAAGGGCCCATCTGATTATATTGGGCAGATAATCCAGAGTCATCTCCCCATGCCAAGGTCCCTACCTTAATCACATCTTCAGAGTCCCTTTTGTCCTGTGAGGTAACATAGGCACAGATTATGGGACAAGATGTGGACATCTTTGGGAGCCATTATGCTTGTAAGCAGTGAGCACATGTGTGGATTTGCACATTTAATGAATCCCAGCATAAAGGGTCCTTAGTGCTCGTGATGTATCTTGTCCTGACAGAATCTGGTGCTTCCAGAAGAAACAGGCAACAGAATTCTTTTTTTAAATAGAAGACTCCTGAAGTTGTACGCTTTGGGCTACAAAAATCTGAATCTACCCTGAGTAGCATAAACAAATAATATCTCCTTATTGGCTAGTGAAAAACTTAGAAGAGAGTGGCCAGGCGCGGTGGCTCACCCCTGTAATCTCAGCACTTTGGGAGGCCAAGGCGGGTGGATCACGAGGATCAAGACCATCCTGGCTAATACGGTGAAAACTCATCTACTAAAAATACAAAAAATGAGCAGGGCAAGGTGGCGGGCACCTGTAGTCCCAGCTACTCGGGAGGCTGAGGCAGGAGAATGGCGTGAACCCAGGAGGCAGAGCTTGCAGTGAGCCCAGATTGTGCACTGCGCTTCAGCCTGGGCAACAGAGTGAGACTGCGTCTCAAAAAAACAAGAACTCAGAAGAGATTGAAAGTTTTAAAGCTAAGCAGTGGATGACACAAAGATTTTTAGCCCTGTATTTTCTCTAGTTTCAGGTTAAGACAGTTTTTCTTCAATAAACATTTCTTAGAAGTACAAAAAGAAGACAGAATTGCATATCTATTTTTTCTTCTAGTTTATATTGAAGACATTATATGTTTAATCAACAATAAGCCTGTTAGATTTATAAGTTAAAATATAGTCAAATTCCTTATGGTGTGGACAAAAGCATTATTATTAACTTTAAGATGGAAATGACAGGTAATAAAGGAAGAAATTACAAAACATTAATTTTAATAGCTTAGATCAGGCATGATGGCTCACACCTGTAATCCCAGCACTTTGGGAGGCCAAGGCAGAATGATCGTTTGAGCCCAGGAGTTCAAGACCAGTCTGAGCAATATGGTGAAACCCTGTCTCTACTAAAAATACAAAAAATTAGCTGGGCGTGGTGACGTTAGCCAGTAGTCTCAGCTACTTGGGAGGCTGAGGTGGCAGGATTGTTTGAGCCTGGGAGGTCAAAGCAGCAGTGAGCCATGATTGTGCCACTGCACTCCATCCTTGGTGATAGAGTGAGACACTGTCTCAAAAATTAATATAATTTTGAAGTTTTAATAGCTTAATGTTTATATTTTAAAGCTCTGAATAATCCTGATACATGAATAATAATAAACATATAAAAATGGGCATCAGCAGTGTTGAGAAATTAGAGGATCATGAAGTGTAATACATCTTTTCCAAAGAAACAAAATTGTTTTAATTCTAGACTAATTACTTAGCCGGGTGCAGTGGCTCGTATCTGTAATCCCAGCACTTTAAGAGGCCGAGGCGAGAGGATCCCTTGAGGCCAGGAGTTCAAGACCAGCCTGGACAACATGGCGAGACCCCATCTCTGCAAAAAAATAAAAAATTAGCCGGGTGTGGTGGTGTCTGTCTGTGGTCTCAGCTACCTGGGAAGCTGAGGTGGGAGGATTGCTTGAGCCCAATAGGTTGAAGCTGCAGTGAGCTGTGTTTGTGCCACTGCACCACAGCCTGAGCATCAGAGGGAGACTCTATCTCTGAAACAGACAAAACTATTTCTTTATTAAGAATCATGACTTGACTAATGATATTAAGTAGTAATCATTTTGCAGTTTTATTAATTTTATCTCTTCTTTTTCTTGTTGTTTTTGTGAATAGCAAGAAAGTACGACTATCAGCAGCCACAAAACCAAGCTGACAGTGTGCAGCTCTCATTGGAATGAAGCCTCAGAAAATGAGCAACAGAAGTAATTGTTGCAAGCTCCTGATTCTTTCTACTAAATCGTGAACAGCTTTAAAAACATTTCTGTCTGCATAAAATTATTTTACTTGTGACTTTTCCCCAATTGTTTTGTGCATTGTTTTGCTTTTTTAAATTGCATCTCCAAGTCATTGTTAGGTAAATACAAGTGGCTCAAAAGGCTTTGACACAGGGAACCTGCACATATCCAGGATATATGTAACCAGCGATGGTGACTTGACCTTGCAAAGACCTGTGATTCCTTCAGGATACAATCAGTGAGAAATAAAAAACACATCTTGGGAAGCGGGAATCCTGGAGTTTATACCATTTACAATATTAAAAAATAAAAATGCAACCATTGGAATAACTTCCTGTTTGATTGTATTCTGTGAGTGATAAGTATCAGATCAGATCAATAACATTAATTTATTGTTAACAGCTCTTTTTTTTTTTTTTTTTGGAGACAGAGTCTGTCACCCAGGCTGGAGTGCAGTGGCACGATCTCTGCTCACTGCAACTTCTACCTCCCAGGTTTAAGCAATTCTCCTGCTGCAGCCTCCTGAATATGCTGTTAACAGCTCTTTAATTAATGACCTTTGCTTCTTCAGAACTTGTATGGTAGACTGTCCTTTCTACATCATGATGCATTCTCCTGTGCTAATTTTAAAAGCTTTCTGTAACTAGATTTTTTCCTCATTATGTTCCCAGGAGCGAGTTTGTTTTTATCCCCCAGTTTCATTTCCACCAGGTAGCTCTACTTTAGGCCATACTGGGCCCCTGCTGTTGAATAAATGGATGCCTCTATGTTGGTGTTGGCAACTGTGCAGTAATAGTACTACCACTGGTGAATGTTGCCGTCTGGTTACTTGGCATGCCAAGCTTTCCCAAAGAGCTTCATCTCTTTTTCTTGTTCTGTACTATACAATGAAATGTTTTTACCTAATTTTTCATATTTATTTAAATAAAAACTGACTGGGTAGTAGTGGGGAAGTTTAATTGTCCACGTAAGTCAAAAGAATCCATTTTTGAACTAGAGCTATTTTCAATTATAAGAATTAGTTGGCTGGGCCCGGTGGCTCATGCCTGAAATCCCAGCACTTCGGGAGGCCAAGATGGGAGGATCACGAAGTCAGGAGTTGGAGACCAGCCTGGCCAACATGGTTAAACCCCATCTCTACTAAAACTACAAAATTAGAAGGGTGTGGTGGCTTGCGCCTATAATCCCAGCCACTCGCGAGGCTGAGGCAGAATTGCGTGAATCTGAGAGGTGGAGGTTGCAGTGAGCTGAGATCATGCCACTGCATTCCAGCCTAGGCGACAGAGCAAGACTTCATCTCAGAAAAAAAAAAAAAAAGTTAATAATGACTTCAAGTATTATTTTCTTTTCCCCTTATTGTGAAATAAAATATACATTTTAAATGAAAATTAAGGTTTAGATCAAATAAAATCATTCAGGGAAATTACACTTACTTTAAAAAATGTGTTGTTCAAAAATGTATTGTACAAAGTGAACTGACCAAATAGAATAATTCTTAACTCACAAAGGAGTTTGAGCGCACTGCCTATATATCGAATTTAAATCTGACTAAAGGATTGTAAACAGTTGTAATTATGGGTTGTAGTAGCAAAGCAGCAAGGGGACAATCTTCTAAATTTGCCTTTGCCTAGGAGAACTACTGTACATTTCCATGAGCGAATTTAATCAGCAGTAGGAGTAGTTTACTTGTCACTGACATGTGGCACAATCTCGACAAATTACACAAACTGGCTATCAGATTTGTAAAATTAATGTACATAAATAAATATAAGTCACACAATGAAATGAATTGTTTTCTTTGTGTCCACTAGATAGAGATGGTCATAACTACAAACTAGTAGATCGTTTGATGAGCATCAAACCCTGGCAAGTGAGAGATGAATTCCTCTCTGTTTTTTCCTTAAAGCAAACCGATGGGAATTGCACACACCCCACTGGCAGGAACAACAGCAAGCTGGCTTTGAAGTCTCTTCCCTGCTTCAACAGCTGAACTGGGGAGAGTGCAAGCCCTGCAACCACACTTCAAAGCGGCGCGGTCTGGCTGTCCTGCTTCTACCCAACATCCACCTGAGACTCAACCGAACTGTTTTCTTTGGAAGAAAAATGGAACGACTAATAAGCTAGTAATTAACCCTTGTATTCTTCTTCTGGTTTCATCTTCCCTTTTTAATGCATAAGATATTCAGCAGTAAGCACTGGTCAGTCTGCCCTGGTGCTCAGCTTGAGTGTGTTAAATAACTGGCTATTTAGCTGATGCCAGCCAGCTGCGTGAAGGGGAGAAGGCCGTCTCCAAGGGCACAGATGTTTGCTGTTGACCTCACGCTGTGTCTGGTTGAGTTACTCATGATTCATCGGAAAACGACATGCAAGGTTTATGGTAAAACTGCTGTAACATCAGAAGTATTTTAAGTGTTCACTAAAAGTAAGATAAAATAGTAATAAAAAATAGTTTCAGATGTTAAGATGATATAAGAATAAATTTAACCTAGAAAATGGAGAAGGAACAAAAGAACATTGTATAGAGCCAAGTAATTCATTCAATGGTTGGTTCTAGAGTGTTTCCCCTGTGCTTGCTCTATGTGATCCTCTTCCATAGGCTATTCTAATAGCAGAACTAGAATAAGAGGTGCCAGAAAACTAACGGAAATAGGAAGGGCACTGAGCTAACCTCCAACATGTTCACAATAGTGAGGACCAGAGGGCAGGGGCTGGTGCTCCTGTACTTCCCACTTGGCTCCTTAATGAAGCCAAAGCCAAACTTAGACAAAGCTATAAAGCAGGAAAAATGTCCCACCTCTCCCATTTACATCCCTCTTTATCCTCCCATAAGCCTGTGAGTGAGACAGGTCTTGAATGAGGATTTAAGAATGGGAATGAGGAACTCAGAACTAAAGTGGTGAACCCTACACATCACAACAGACATGCAAACTTTCTTTGACCTCTAACAAAATAAGTGGCATTCAGCATTGGACCTTATACTAATGAAACCGCTACTTCTATTTTATTTTTATTTTATTTTATTTTATTTTATTTGAGACGGAGTCTTACTCTGTCACCCAGGCTGGAGTGCAGTGGCGCCATCTCAGCTCACTGCAACCTCTGCCTCCTGGGTTCAAGTGATTCTCCTGCCTCAGCCTCCCGAGTAGCTGGGATTACTGGCATGTGCCACCACACTGGGCTAATTGGTATAGTTTTCATAGAGATGGGGTTTCACCATGTTGGCCAGGCTGGTCTCGAGTTGCTGACCTCAGGTAATCCACCCACCTCGGCCTCCCAAAGTGAGATTATAGGTATGAGCCACTGCGTCCAGCCTTACCTTTATTTTATTTAGATATAGTAAAAAACTAAGACCATTTGTGGACGTTAGTAACATTCCACAATCCAGATTGGAAGGTGGGGTAAATGAAAGGGGAGGCCCCTCCCTGGTGCCGGTTTTGATGCTGAAGGAGCACTGTGCTTTCACCTCCTTCAGGGTGATGTTTCTAGCTCCAGAATTTCTTTTCTTCCAAATGGAGAAGTGACAGAGGTCTCACTGTTAGGAAAGAGTGGCTCTATCTCTGGGGTTTTTATAAATATATATTTTGACAAATTTCAAACTAGTCAAAGGAAATTGAGAATGTTTAACTACAGCTGATTTGGTGGTGGTAACTGCAAATGCTTTTGGGCTCAGCAATAAGAATTTCTTGAGAAAATGAACCATGTAAGTGTAAAATGTCTACGAGAAAACAAGTAAATGTACATGGTATTCATTTAGTGGGTAGGGAGAAGGGATTGTAATGTCTCTGAATAACATCTTTATTTTGAAGTCTAAAGAACCAGGCCCATTCAAGTTGACTTTAGTTCTATATAATTCTTTATATCTGAAAGGATTTCTAGCACCTAATATTGGCATAGTAACTAGCCCAAAGTAAATGCTCAATAACTACTTGTTGAATTAATTAATTTACTTGTAATAGTTTATAGAGGTGATTTTTTTATGTGTGTTTTTTAAAAGTGTAGTCTCCACTTCTGGTAACGGCAGAGTAATTGTGTCAGACTAACTCTTGGAGATAGTGACAATAAGTTCAGGACAAAATATTTAGAAAACAACTATTTGGGCTGGGTGCAGTGGCTCACGCCTGTAATCCCAGCACTTTGGGAGGCCAAGGTAGGTGGATCACGAGGTCAGGGGTTCGAGACCAGCCTGTCCAATATGGTGAAACCCCCATCTCTACTAATACAAAAATCACACGCCTGGAGTCCCAGCTACTCAGGATGCCAAGACAGGAGAATTGCTTGCACCCGGGAGGCAGAGGTTGCAGTGAGCCGAGATCGCACCGCTACACTCCAGCCTGGGCATTAGTGACTCCACCTCGAAAAACATAATGGAACAACCCCCCCCCGCCCCCGCCAACAACTATTTGGAAGTAACTCTATGTAGACAAACAAACCAGAAGGAAGATGACCTTTAAGAGAAGGGCACCGGTTGAGATTCTCATTTCTACAGTTTTTTGCCTGAAGGCATTTCCCAGTCCACAGCTCAGGACTATGGGGGAACACAGGCAGAAAGCCACGGTCTCTGAGGACAGAACTCAGGGCTCTGGAGAGATGACAGGGACAGGACATCCCAGAAAGAAGTGAACCACAGAAGAACTGCATGTAAATTTGGGCAAGTTTTTGGCTGATCCTTGAACTATGGTCTGTAGTCTCTCAGAAGCCTAGCAGGAAGCAAATGGCTAAAAAGGCGAAAGAAGCTGAGGTTGCAGTGAGATGAGATTGTGCCACCGCACTCCAGCAGCCTGGGCAACAGAGCAAAAGTCTATCTCAAAAAAAAAAAAAGCTGAAAGAACTGAGCAGTTTTCAGCTGCTGCCACCACAGGAATTGCCATTCAAGTCTTGCCAAATTAATTTTGCTTGCTAGAACAAAAATCAGCACTTTTCAGAGAAAGATAACAGAATCTAGAGACTTTGTATCATTCACAATGTCCAATATGTAATAAAAAAATTACAGGAATTTGAGAAGAACAGGCAAATGAGAACAGAAAGAACAGGAAAATGAGACTATAGTCAAAGAGAAAAAAATGTGACGATGCAGTCCGTAGCCGAGAAAAAGCAGTCAATGGAAACTGACTTCAAAATTACTCAGATATTGGATTGGCAGATAATAACTTTGTTTAATTTTTACTGATTTTTTTTTATTTTTTTGAGTCAGGGTCTCACTCCGTCACCCAGGCTGGGGTGCAGTGGCACAATCACAACTCACTGCAGCCTTGACCTCCTGGGCTCTGGCGATCCTCCCAACTCTACCTCTTGAGTAGCTGGGACTACAGTCACACACCACCATGCTGAGCTAATTTTTTGTATTTTT